CTATCCCATCCTATCCTAATCGTTGAGTAGAATAGGGTGGTGGTCTCTTCAGGGGAGCCGTTGAGGATCAGTACAATACCAACGCTCAGCTCGAGAGGGAGTTAGAGCAGGTTAGAGGAATGCTTGAGGACGAAACTGAGGTTAGCTGAGCTCCATGTGGGAAAATAAGTATATGATGGGTTATCAGCTTATCTATACCCTATCAACGTTTCAGCTCAATAACCCGAAAACTTGACGGGATATATGAATTTCTCGAAATCATATATAGATTTGTACCAGTATTAATAAAAATATTATACGATGTGAAGCCAAGGTAAGAATTGGCTTGTTATGCACGTGTTATTGACGATGAGGAAATTCTACCCCAAGTCGTGCCTGAATGATTGCGATGCAGTGGGGAAACTCCCGAGCTCAGCTGAGGGAACTAAACGTATAGTCCAGTCTGGTAGTCGTTCAGCGTGCGGAGTCAATCGAGATTGAGCTGCAGACGGCGCAGGAAGAGTGCACGGTCATGCATGCGGAGGTGACGGCGAAGACGGCTACCATTGAGGAGCGAGAGACCAAGTTGGCCGAGATGAAGGGGGAGTTGGAAGGGCTACAGAACGAGGTAGCGGACGCGGAAGCTCAGGTGGGATGGTGATTTTTTTAGAATGGGAAAATATGCGCATGGTCAAGTGTGTTGGTGACAATATGGAAATTTCGGGAGCTCTTCTTGCTTTTTGTACACTTCTGTCCGAATTCGTGTAAGTTTCTATAGTTAGTGAGGAAACTTCCAAGCTCAGCTGAGGGAAGAAAAGCCTTTCTTCCAAAACTGATGTCATGCAGTTATCGCGTCGACAGGAAGAATATGATGCCTTGTTGAAGTCGATTGAGGAAGAGGAAAGGGAGTGCAATGAGGTGGAGGCGAACTTGGCTCAGCGACAAAGGGATTTGAAGGCTAGGGAGCAGGTGAGTCTCATTATCGTATTCTATCTATAGCGCTGTCAAGTTCCGATTGGCAGGTCTTGACTGAAGCATTGGAGCAGTTGAGGTCCCAACGGAGGAGCACTTCGCGTTTGTCTGATGGACCGAGTGGGAGTGATGACGGAGAGTGTTTACAAGAAGAGGATGAGACTGAGAGAGATGTGAGCTGCAGACTCTCTTTTATTTATCGATAAATGTGCCAATTTATCGAGGCTATGATTTTATTGTCGAACTATGTTGTTAATGTTCGATGTCTTGGCCCGGGTTCGAACCTGGATCCACCGCTTGAGCCGCTCACA